TGAATATTTTCGACTTACTTTATGCATGTAAAAGAATTTTAAAGTATGTATGCAGGCACTCCTCACTAAGAAATAACTGTTGTGCGTTCTACTTTCTCATACGTTTTAATGCAGTCAATATATTCTTGCCTTTTGTTTTAAATACGGCCGTGCCAAGTATGTTGATAGATGTTAAAGTACGGATGCACAAAATATGTTGCTTACTATTTACTTCAATATTGATTTTGACGTACTTGTCTAATTGTCACTCATATTAGAAAAAAATCAATAAAATCGGTTGTTTCAAGGAAAGAATACAAACATCGAAACATTGTTATCTTACATTCTGCTTCTCGTATTTAGAGTGTGAGTGTGAAGTGTGGGTCAGATGAAGAAATACATCCACAGCCACATCCCACGTATATCCATCCTAAATTTCCTTTTTTTTTTCTTATAGCATATATACAGAAGACAGATGTGTGCTTATGATTGTCATCATTCGATTTGCTCTACCGTGTGTAAGGAAATAGACTCAAGTTTCATTTTATTTGAATGAATTTATAATACACTGTTGTCGTCAATAAAGCACAAAAAAGAGCGAATCTTTAAAATAAGAAAAAATATTAATATTGACAAAAAAATCACTGAAAAAAAACACTCTACTATGTGTTTTTCAGAGGAAGTTCTATTTATTCAAGTTTGAATTGTATGTCAAGTACCGAATTAGATAAAGTTTTTGTGTCATTCTTGTTGATACATGTTGGAATTTTCCAATTGCCTTATTCTTGTGATGAAATTTTCCAGTGTAACGCACACACTTTTCTTTGGATTTTTCCAGTAGGAAGATTCATCTCTTATATATACCGATAGCTATCAGTCAGTTACTCGTTCGATCTTGAAATTAAACAAAATTCTGTGGATTACCAGTTTTCTATTTGCACCATTCATATTCGATTGGAACTGGTAGGTTTGTGTATTACAATTTGTTAGCTGTATACATCATTGTTATTGTAGCAAAAAGTGAAATTTCATGACTTCCTTGAATAATAAAAAAAAAAGATATTTTTTAATCGAGTAAATAAAAATTTTTCATGAATTGGAATCGCTCTGTGAAGCTCTCTCTCTCTATATATATTGATTTATTTCAATTAATTAAATGGTTGTAATATGAATTTTTGCAGTATATCATTCAACAACTATTAATAATCTTGTGTTAAAATAGCAGTTGTTTTTCATTTCTCCTCGTGTTTCGAATACTATAGTGAAAATACACGAATGAGTCGATGTTATGCAAAATAAGTTAAATTTTTACATGTGCACATGTTTTTTCTTCTTCCTTTTCATCCGTTCTTCTTTGCTTGCAGCAGAACATGACATCATCAACACATGTGTCCTCCTCTACAGCAAATGTTGACACTGCATTATCATTAAAAGATAATCTCGAAATCAGTTGGCTCGATGGTCACATTTGTGAAAATGGTCAACATAATCAATTAAAATCCTATTGTCAGAATATTTCGAAACTTATTTCAAAATGGCATTTTTTCGAATCTACTGACCAACTTCAACGTTATCTTGCAAGAAATCCAAATATTAAACTGATTACGATTATGTCTGGTAGATATGCCCGCCAAATACTTGCACTCGTATCACCTATGGAAAATTTACATAGTGCTTATGTTTTGACAATCGATATTGAAAAAAATAAGAAGAAACTTGGTGTTGAACCTAAACTGAAAGAAATATTCAATGATGAATATGTTTTGTTGGGTCGTCTACAAAAGGATTTATCTGAATTATTTTGGGAAGAAGGAAAAAAGTTGGCTGCAGCTAAACGCGATCAAGAAGCTCGTGTGTACTTTGAAGAAGCACATCGTTTAGATGAAAATTTGAAATAAGATGTAATTGTAGAAATAAAATGATGATTGCCTCATGTGATAATTGTATTTTTTTTAATAGGGTGTGGGTGTATGTGAGTATATGGGTGTGATTGTGGGTCTTTAATGCATTCACACCTACATCCTTAAATTGGAGATTTTGACCAATTCGAAAGTTTTATAATCTCAAAAACGATGAATCCAGGTTTTCGACGTGTTTCGGATCGAGTTCACACCGCGGGTTCAACTCATGTGTTATTTAGTTTATCCTTGATATTTTCAACTAGCCAGTGATATAATAACTTTTTCACAATGTGTGATAAGAGAGTTCTACAAAATATTCAAAACGTTGAAATACACGTTTTTCGGCGTTTTTTCTTCAGCTCTATTTATTCACCTTTATATTGTCTCTGTTAAGTTTCTTGTTCGTTTCAATGCAAAGTTCATCCAATCATCTATTCTTTGCATGGTAAACGGTTACATACGACATTATTAATGATTGCGTATATTTCAGATTGAGGTACTTCTATATGATATACGTCGCTCTCATTCTCATGCATATTGTATTGTGCAGAAAAAATATACTGTGAATGTATAAGTGCGGTACATATTCTATAGAAGTATCCAAAATACGATCCTATACGGTCGTATTTTGTCATGTTATTTAGTTCCAGAATACGACCTTGACTAATCGTGTCGTATATGACAAAATACAACGTGTGGTAGTCCTTTACGACTTTATTTTTATCAATAACACCTATTCCCTGCATTCCTTCCTGTCACTCTGTATATACGACAAAAGTAGTTTACTTATTATTAACATATAATTCAATTTCTTAACGTGACACTTACTATTCGATAGTTTTATGAGACATCCGGAAGAAAAAATCTCACAGTCGGATCTTATCAGAGCCATCGGTATTTTATAAAATGAAATAAAGTCCTGTAGGGAAATTTCGGAAATCAGTTGACTGAATCACATGCAGATCTCTAGTATTAAAATCTGATCAGACACTACCGTCCAGATCTTACTCTTGGATTTCGATCAAGATGTGAGGTGTGAGTGTAGACATAGATCAAGAAAAGGCACTCCCCTATATCCTTTCGATGATATACACAATAACAATCGACTAACTATTTAGAGTAGAAATGACTACACAAAAATCGAAACAGAAAATTCTTGCGCCCTCGAAAAAGACTGCAGCTCCAACTGAAGTATCGACAGCCATTGTAAAGACAATAGCATTAAATCAATTAACTAACGTCAACTCAAATGGCGTATTGTTCAAAATTTTCTGCTCACCTGTTTACATTCAACAATTGATGAATCGAAAGATGATTGTCAAAAAAACTCTGAAACAATTTCGAACCATTATTAATGCAATTTATATATTCATCAAATCTGATCAATGTATTCATTTTCTCAATCAAGTCAAATATGAAAAAGTATTTATAATCGTATCAGGATCACTAGGTCAATCCATAATCCCTGTTATTCATGAAAATTCCCAACTAGATTCCATCTGCATCGTCTGTGAGAACAAAGCACGACACGAACAATGGATCACAGAGTGACCCAAAATTAAAGGTATATATAAAGAAATAAAATCCATGTTGAAAGTTCTTCAAAAAAGCCATTAAACAATTCAATCACGACTCCGTGCTAGTCAACTTCCTTTCACATACGAGTGCAATCAGTCCAAGTTCAGATCAATTCGGACCATCCTTCATGTAGACGAAGATTTTCAAAGAAATTCTCTTCGAACTAGAATACGATGAACAATCTGTCAAAGTGTTAGTCAACTATTGTTGTGAACAGTACACAGACAACCAAGGCGAACTACAAATTATTACACAATTTGCACGTGATTATCGTCCTGATTCATCTATTTGGTGGTATACTCGCGAATATTTCACTTATCAAATGCTCAATTGAGCTCTACGTACTCTTGAATCCAATATTATCATTAAGATGGACTTCTTTATACGTGATTTGCATCGCCAAATTGAAGTACTTCATTCACAACAATTCGATAAACGTCAGGAACAAATCTTCGCCGTATATCGTGGACAAGGCTGATCAATACATGACTTTGATAAACTCACAAAAACGAATGGTGGATTGATGTCATTTAATAATTTCTTATCCACTAGTAAAATACGAGAGTTTTCGCTCGCTTTCGCAAAATGTACTTTAATCACAAATGATTTTGTTGGCATTCTTTGTGAAATGATTGTTGATCCATCAACGCCTTTGGCACTCATCGATAGTGTCAGTTATTTCAATGCAGAGCAAGAAGTTCTTTTCTCCTTGCATACTGTGTTTCACGTTAGTGAAATCAAGAAAATTGAGAAAAATAATCGATTTTATCAAGTGACACTGATATTGACTAGTGACAACGATCAAGAACTGCCAATTCTAACCGAACGGATACGAGAAAAAACGTCGCCTCGTACACAAGAATGGTATCGTATCGGTGAATTACTTTTGAAACTAGATCAATTCGACAAAGCGGAACAAGTATATTCAACTGTTCTACAGCAAACACCCAGTGCTAAAGATCAAGCAGATATTTATTATCAATTTGGATGCATTAAAAATAATCAAGGTCATTATGAAAAAGCCATATCATTTTATGAACGAACAATTGAAATCGATCGAAAATCTGTTTCCATAAATTATTTGTCATTAGCTAACACATACCATGGTATCGGTGCGGTATATGACAATATGAAACAGTACTCGGACGCTGGCTTGTATCATGAAAAAGCACTTGAAATCTACCAAAAGAATCTTTCTCCGAATCATCTAGATTTAGTTGCTTCATACAATAATATTAGTTTGCTTTATAGGAATATTGCAGAATATTCGAAAGTACTTTCATATTTCCAAAAAGCGCTTGATATTAAAGACAGAATTCTTCCTTCAAATCATCCTTTATTGGTTACTTCATAAAAAAACCATCGCTTCAGTATATTACAATATAAACGAGCACTCGAAAGGGTTTTCATTTTATGAGAAAGCACTCGAGATTGAATAAAAAACACTTTCCTCAAATCACCCTGATTTAGCTACGACATATAACAACATCGGCTGGATGTATCGAAACATGAATAATTACCGGAAAGCACTGTCGTTGTATGAACGTGCTCTGGATATAAAACAACGTTTGCTTTCTCCTAATCATCCTAGTTTTCAACCTATACGACAAAGCATAGAAAGTGTTAAAAAGAAATTATAAATAACTGTGATCAAAAATTAATACATTTACATATGAATTCCAACTGGGGTGTGGATTTCAGTCTTCTCTACACCTACATCTACACCAACATCTATGCCGACCCTGAAGATATCACATTTTTTTAATATTTTTCCAGTTTCGATCCTCATACGACCACCCTAATTTTACAATTTTTTATTTATTAAACTGTCTGCATAATGAGAAATGTTTATTTTCAATAATATAAGATGATCATACTGGAGTAGTTTTGAGGTAATTTGGTGACTGACTAAATGTTGAACAAAGAATGTCAAAAAACTAAATTCTTTTGATCATAGATTACGCCCTCATCTTCACTGTTCTAATGTATGCATACGTATCGTATTGCATTCGATTGATCAAAACTTAGAAAAGGTTTTTCATCAACGATCAGTCATTTTCGACATTTCTCATTTTGTTCTAATAAATATTGTATGATAAAATTTTCATTAATTTTTATTGAACAATTCCAGTGTGTAATAGATCTACCTAAAAATGAAAATTTTTCATGAATTCCGTCACCTTCTGCTTGAAAAATATATTTTTCGGATTGCACATCGTGCAATTCTTGAAGGGAATTTATTGTAGCCCATTGTTCTCTTTTTTGTCTGAGAGAGCATGCACAACTGCAGTGCCTGCTTTTTTTAATTAAGTTTTTTATTACTTTATAGAAAAGTACTTTTTTTAAATAGATGAATATTTTTTGACAGTTTTCAAGGTGTTAAGCTTGTTATCCTTTTTCTCTGCATAAAAAGTAAGAGTTTAACTTGACCCAAGATCGATTTTTGAGGGAAGGCTTGAAAAGTATTCCATGTCTGTTTTTTTCAACGATTGGAATCAATCATGAATTTATTGCTTTCAAAAACCAAAGTAAAGATTTATTATCTTACTTCTGACATTATGTCTAAAGATGGATTATGTAGGCTTTTTCTTACTTTGCTCATGCTTGAAATAACTTTTCCGGTGTTAATTTAGTGAAAGATTGATATATGTGTATCTCAGTTTTGAAATTCTTTGTAAAGAAACAGAATTCATTTATAAGAACAAAATGGAAACTATATTTTTATTTGTAGTGTTTTATGTATAAAAAGCAACATTGACAAAATCATTCGTACATATACTTTTCACCTTTTCCAAAAAGCTTCAACACACATACACATATACACATACATACATACATACATAAAAAGCTACAACATTCGATTTCATTTAAATAAGACATATTGAGCATGTCCTACACTCGGTAATAATTAAGAAGAAACAAAAAAGAAAACTCAGAAACAAAACACGTATATTTCGACTCGATGAATAGCAGTATTCTTGAAATATCTATTAACAATAAGTTGATACGATGTGTTACATTTCTCTCTCTCTTTATTTATGACGTAATATAGAAATACTAAAATTGTTTAATATACACACGCACACTGTTTACTTTAACATAAAATAAAAAACGAGTGTGTATTTGTTTTTCTATTTCTTTTTATTACTAGAAATTGTTTTTGATATCCATTCAAGGCCTTCCTAAAAAAAACAAAACCATGGAATAGAAAGAAATTTATTTCAAAGAATGAAATAAGAAATATTTTGCTTACTTTAACACCTTCTTTTGTATGTGCTGAACAACCTTGTATTTGCCAACGTCGATCACGTATTTGATGTAATGATAGACCATCAGTAATATCAGATGCTTTAGCAGCATTTAATAAATCTTGTTTATTAGCAAAAATTAATAGAGGTACACCACGTAATTTTTCTTCTTCTAATAGTTCACCTAATTCCTATAAAAGTTATAGTATAAATAAATTTCAATTATATATGGAAAGCATACTTGATTTGTTTCATCAAACCGTTTTCGATCAGAACTGTCAATAACATATATCTATATAGAAGAAAACGATATTAATCATACACAAGAAAAAAAAAATTTTTTGATTATAATCAACTTACTAGAACATCGGTATTATCGAAGTAATTACGCCAATATGGTCGTATTCTACGTTGACCACCTTTAAAATATAAAGAAAACAGCATTCAATTGAAAAAGTATTCAATCAGAATTCTTTACCAATATCCCATACATTAAGTTTGAAACCACTTGACTGTACACTCTTAATATTAAAACCTTGTGTAGGTGTTATATGTGAAATATCTTCAGAAGCAAGAACTTTGAGTAATGTGGTCTAAAGTAAAAATTCAATTTTCTTTTTATGGATATACATTTTAAAATCGCCTACTTTTCCGGCATTATCAAGACCTAAAAGTAAAATACGTAGTTCTTGTTGAGCTGTTGCACGAAAACTCCGTAAGAAATCAAGTAACCCCTGAAAAATAGAAATTCTTTATCTTGAAATATTATATTATTTATTGATTACCATAATGAATATATAATTAATAATAGTGTTTATTTGAATTGTAGTTTAGTAACAAATGACAAACTAAATAAGAAAAAAGTAGGTAATCACGAAAGAATAGGCAACTGACTTATGATAAACACAACATTATATAGAATTATAGTCTAGGAAGAAAAATAGGAAGAATGACAGATTTTTCGAGGAGAAGAAGGAAGAAGAGAAATGATGACAATAGTACTATGTCATCATGCAATATTTCATAACAGATAGTGTTTCGATGTGACCTCTAATGTTGTCAAGCATAGAATAACAATAAAATAATAAGAATAATGAAATAAATATGATTATAAAATTAATTTTTAATTTTTTCAAAGTTCCTTTTAGCTTTAAGAATATTTTTATGAGAGATACTCTCGGATATGAACGCCATCTATTATATCATCTTACAGAAAAATCTCTCTAATGTGATCACCATCAGCATTGAGCAAAAATACTCATTTTACGAAAATGCTCATTATGGGGAACAAGTTTTTTAATCAAAAGTAAATCAACATGTGTTGACATAATTTGATGTTACTAACCATTAATACAAAAACGATGAGATGTTACACCAAGCACTATGACTGTTACTTAATCTTGCTGTTTTTCCGTTTAAAAATGCACAGTTAGTACATCATTTTTATTCTCGTATTTTGTACGTGGATGATAGAACATATGTTGCTCTCATCATAGAGATTGTCATTGCTTATGGAATCAAAAATAAGCGCTCACTGTTGAGAATAAAGAGCTGGACACATAGAGACGTTTTACTATATTATGATTAATTCTACTATCGTTCATCATTTATCTATTCCTATATGAGAGATAAAGTCCTGTAGAGTCAAACTTTTTGGCTTGGAAATACTTGAAAAATTTGTTTTTGACTACCATATATATTTCTTTTAGTGCTATTTGTAATTGAGAATCTTTTTCTGACGTATCTTATCATTACTTAAACATATGAAGAATAAATTTGTTGCTATATAAGAGTAAGACTACAGGGTGACCCAAAAGTCACGCACCAAAGACAAAAAATTGAATATCTTCATTATGGCTTGACCAAACGGGCTCATTTTTTTTATCACGGATAGAGACATGTTCACAATCCAAATCCATACGGACAAGGTTAATGAGAACCTTTGTTAAGTATCACTATTGACCTGAACAAGAAAATTTTACTTTTTCACAGATA